CCCCTGTTCCAAGGAGCTATTATTTGGACAAAGATCATGCATATTTTGGTCTTTTCTTATTGTTGTTTGGATGAATTGTTATGTGGCATGAAGCATGTTGTGGTTGGATCCATCCCTAAACAAACAGCTGAACTTAAAAAATACTATTTTTTTCCTGGTGCTTAAAAAATTGAAAAAAAAAATAGTAATCATTGGACTAAAAGAGGCTATCCCAATGCCAGTCAGTCACTGTTCCCTCTGGAAATAGAAACAGATGCGAATTTCTCCAAAGCTGACCCATCTTCATAAACAGGAAGTTTAGAAAGACAGGTAAATCTATCCACCCTTAGGAAGGTAGCCTATCTAAGAGTCTGTGCTCAAATTCTTTGCTTCCTCCTTGAGTCCTAAACCAAATCCATCCCCTTTTACTTAAAACTCTCATCTCCCCATCTGCAGGGAGTTGTTTTGTTTTGTTTTTTTTTCTCAATGGGCTGTAGACTTGGTAAACTCCCAATAGCTTCTCAGACTAGTTATATTTAGTTCACACTAGTGGCTGTTCCGAAAAGTGAAATCAGAGATTCCACAAAATAATATCTAAACTTGGTAAAGAGTCAAACATGATTTTGTTGCCAGAGTTGTATACTGGAAGCCCAGTCTGATGTGACAGCATGGTGCTATAGAAAGAACACTGCATTGTGAGTTCAAAACCCATCAGTCTAGTCCTGTGTCTACTGGAAATTTCTCTGAAGGCTTCCATAAGTCACCACAACATATGAACCTCGGCTTCCCTCATGTAAAATGAAACCATTGCTTTCAGCTCCAAGGTCATCATCATCATTATAGACCAGTTATTGATCATCCGTTATGATCAAGCCATCTGAGCATCATACTAAACAGTTGATCATTCAGCCATTATTCAGAGGAGGAAACCAAGGTTCAGAAATTCTAAGTGATATACCCAAAGTCAAATTAATAGTAAATGGAACCTCTGCTAAGCAAAGTCAGGTCTACACCTCACTGCCTCAAAGACTGTGAGCCTTACAGGTAACAACACACCTTTCCTGGTCAGGAGAATCTTCAAGGTCTCCCCATCTCTAAAGGATAATGTTCAAATTCCTTAACAGGACATTGCAGTCTTTCCTCAGACTGGCTTCAGATCAGCTTTTCAATGTCTCGGCTCCAGGATCCATTGAACTCCCTGAACTGTGACCTTGCCAGACATACACACACACACACACACACACACACACACACACACACGGATCAAGATGCAGTTATGCTCTTCCCTGAACATGGACAAATTCTTTTGATCCTCCAAGATACTGCCCCCAAAGCATCTCAGGAAGCCATCCCCCATTTTTCCAAGTAGTGGTGATCCCCCTGCAGGAGAGGAGTCCTGTCGGATTCATTTGTGTATCCCCAGTGCCAGCGCAGTCACCGAGCAGATACTCAGAAACTACTGGTGAAGTGCAGTGATAGTCCTCACCAGTTTTCCTCTGAGGATAAGGATCTATCTTAGCTGGGAATGATAACATCCCTCCCTCCTAAAATCTCTTAAGACCTGGCACTGGGCCATTAAGACCTGTATCACTTTCCCATCTCTTAAGTCTATTGTGGTAGTTGATCATACCCAGCCCTTTATTGAGGCAGTCTAAAGGGGAATCTTGTCTCCACTTTATATATGGGGAAACTGAGGAACAGAGAGATGAACTAACATGCTAATATTACCTGGTAACCAGGGGCAGATCAGGAGTTTGAATCCAGGGTTTCTGAGTTCAAGGATGAGAACTTTTAACAATAGCTTGAATGCCAATGTTTGCTTATACATCAAGGTAAACTCGTCTCATTTCCCTGAAGCGTGGCTTTCTGAGTTTTCAGATAGGGGTGACGATCTATGTCTGGCTCAGTGTCCCTTGGACATGCCTCAGGAATGCAGAGGCATGCATTTCAGCTCCATGGTGCAGGCCCACAGAAATTGAAGATTACGTAATGTGAAGCAGCATCAGCTGTGTCTGTCCACTTACAGAGTCCATTGGCCTCAGGCTCTTGGAGCTGAGCTCATTGCTTCCAAGAGGAAAAGAAAGTGTCTTTCAAGTAAAAGCTGAACCATGGAAGACAGACTTGGCAATGCCCCCCAGCCACATCAAGACTCCTCACTGGATAGAGCAGATTTCTTAACCTGTCACCACATGAAAGGAACTGAATCTGAATTGAGGGGTTCCCTCAATGTCAAGAGAGGTTCCCTCATGTCAGGAGAGGATGAGCTGGGAGCCAGCCTGTCCCTGCAATCCCCTGTAAGCTAGTTGCCACTGGTGTCTCAATAACTTTCCCTTCCCCCTAACACCCAACATAAAATTTTTTTTTCAAAGAGCGCAGCATTTAAACTATATTTGGACAAGAGTATATGCATCAGAGGTGCCAAATTTTAGTTACTCGTTCGTTCAACAGATACTTACTGAGAGTCTAATAGGTTTTCACAGTACCCCTCCCAATGGGATGTGTTATTATCAATGCTACCTAGCTACTGCATGGAAGGCAGGCAGCAAGGTGATCAT